TAACGCTATTACGAAAAATCGTTATTTGTATTATTTATAATTGGTAATAACCGGAAGTTCGTAAAAGTAAAGCGGTAAAAAATAAAGGGTTAAAAGTTTTAATAGCGTAAAAACGTAAAAATTAAAAAAGTAAAATTTAATAAAAGTTTTTAGCAACGTTTAGAATTAATAACGAAATTTGCTTTGGCAAAAAAAATTTTATTAAAGGAAATTTTAAAAGCGTAAAAATTTTTCCGTAAAAAAATTGCGAAAAGGAAAAAAAGGATAAACGCGTTTAAAAAAGCGCGTTTGGAAACGATTTAATAAAAGTAATAAAAAAGGAATAAATTCGTATTGCTAAGCCTTTTACTTTACGTTAAAAGGTTTAAAAGTTGCCGGGCTTATAATTGTTGCAAGCAAAAGGGATAAGCACGGTATAAAGCTATTCCGGTTAATATGCTTTAAAAAAAAAAGGATTTAAAGTGCAAAGTCCCGTAAAGGCCTTTGCCCTTTATATACACGTAATTCCCTATCCTCCTTGCTTACTAAGCTTCCTTCCTAACGCCTGGAAGCGTCATACGCTTCCAGGCAGGGGGACCGCTTTTCCGATGCCTTAGGCATCTGATATCTATGCCTAAGGCTTCCTTACGACAGTATATACTATCTACTTTGTGACACTTGTAATAGCCGTCGAATCGCACTCCGTCCGACTTCCGCTTTCCGCCAAGCTACGCGTTGTGTAACTATCAGGAGTATCTTGTCGAGATTGACTCATCGTCATCTCGCTTCAGTGTGGTTGTCATGTATATCATCACGACGCCGGGGTCGGGTTCGTCTGGTGTAAATTGTGACCAAAACTTACATAATATCTTGTCTTGAAATAGTTGGCATTTCCGTCATCTTTGCTAAATCCTACCCGCCAACACAGAATTACGTATCACTCCCACATTGCTAGAAGTGGAACAAGTGGTTTCAGGGGTAGGCGGCACAACAAAAGGAGGCGTGCAAGAATCGGCTTTTTATCGCAATCCAATGTTTCTTTTTGAAATTGCTGGGTAACCCAGGGTCTTGGGCATCGAGGATTCGATGAACAAGACAGGCACCATAAATTTTCACAACTTTGAAGGTAGAGACACACGAAGATGATGTTTTGTCTACAGCTTCGTACAAGTGGCAGTAACAAGGCGAATCGCTCGTACAGGGTATACATTTTGACACTTAAAAGAACTTGCCCAGCGTCCTCTGGGCCGAGTCGACGAGATTCTTCTTCTCCGCGACCGGCACCTGTCTGAAGGTCCTTGCCGGCTCCGCGCTCTTCGCGGCGTCGGGCGCGGCGGCCGCCCCGGACGCGTCTCTGCCGCCATCCTGCGGCTTCTGCTGCTGCTTGGCGGCCTTCTTGACCTGCATGCCGTCAAGCACCTTGGCCCTCTCGGCGTTGCGCACAAAGTCCCTATTCTCCCTGGTGGACTTTGAGATCTCGGCGCGCATGCGGCTCGCGCGCTCGGCGTTCTCGGACGCGATCTGCTCCGTCAGGTTGTGCCACTTGAAGCCCTTGAGATACAGCATGGTCCAGACGTCGTCGCGGTAGTATGAGCCCTTCTTGCCGCCGATGGTCTGGCCGTTGAGCGTCGCGGCCACGGCCTTGGCGTCGGCCTTGTGCACGAACTCGACCCAGCCGTCGGTGAAGCTGCGCTTCTTGTTGCCGCCCGCGCGCACGCGGCGCGACCGCGCCGCCGGGTCCTCGGGCGACAGGAAGATGCGGTTCATGCGACCGTAGGGCTCCAGCAGCGACCGCAGCTTGGCTGGCTTCATGAAGGGCGGGATGCGCGGCAGGTACACGACGCCCGACCGCTTGACCTGCGCCTCCGTCACCACCAGGTTCTTCTTGGTCGGGTTCGCGTTGGCCTGCCGCAGCTGCGGCCGGCTCTTGGGGTTCTTCTTGACCGGCCGGGCCTCCTCGTCACCATCATCCTCGTCCTCGCCTTCCCCCTCTGCCGTGTGGGGCCCGCTGTCGCCTAACGCGGACTCGAGCGCCTCGGAGTGCAGTTGGGCTCCTGGTGATTCCACATGCTGGTCGCCGCTTCCGTCGTCGTCGTCGTCGCCGCTGAGGTCTCCGTCATCCTCGTTGTCGGAATCGAGTTTCCTCCGTTTTGCTGAGCGGCGGCCCTTGGAGATCTCGTCGGCCTCGGAGTTGTAGCCCTGGCTTTGGTCGTCGTCACTCTCGTTAGCGTCGAGGAAGTGGTTTCTCTTTTGTTCTGGCGCCATGTTGTCGGCTGCGCAACGGACGCGATGGATGATATGACCATGTCAATTGAGCCTCGCAACATTTGCTGGGCCCCACCAAAGTTTTCCGTTGTCCGATGGATTTCTTATCGTGGGTTCCATTATCTTATCTCCGATATCGCAATCCAATGGAACTCGCAACTGCATCATCGCGGGGCACATTCGAAGAGCTAGTGGCGAGCCGTGACACCCCTTGCATTGCTCTTATGTGCCTCGGCGTTTAAAACACAAAGTATATCAGCTCCCCCAGCCATGCAACACCAGTCTTGGCTTGGTTTATAGACATAATCCTCACTGAGCACACATCTTGCAACCAGCCGGCCCCCCACTCGCTTTGTCTTATTCCCAAACCCTATCCTCGTCGGCAGCCACAAGTTTGAAACATGGGTTCCATCGAGACTCTCACCACCATCTCCCCCACCACGGGCGAGGGCATTCTCACCCGCCCAGGCGTCTCCCCCACGGAGCTAGAGGAGCTCCCCAAAGCCGCCACCAGAGCTTTCGAGTCATGGAGGAAGACATCGCTTGCGGACCGTCAAAGCATTGTGCGCAAGGCGCTCGACGGGCTGCTTACGAAACAGGATGAGCTTGCCAACGAGCTGACGGTCCAGATGGGCCGGCCCATCGCATACACAGCCAAGGAGGTCGCGACAGCTGTCAAGAGAGCAGAGTACCTGCTCAAGATAAGCGACGAGACGCTCAAGGACACGGACGGCGAGGCCGAGAAGGGGTTCAAGCGTTTCATCAGAAAAATTCCAGTCGGGCCTACGCTGATTATTTTTGCATGGAATGTAAGTGTTCTGGTCGACTGGTTGTGATTCGTCAGTCACTCTTCGACACACGGCGCGACAACTGGTAAAGCTAACGGCGTAGTACCCATACCTCATTCTGGTCAATGCCCTGATCCCGGCGCTGCTGGCCGGCAACAGCGTCATCCTGAAGCCATCGCCGCAAACGCCGACCATTGTCGAGCATGTTGCCAAGCTCTTTGCCGAGGCTGGGCTGCCCTCAGGCGTCATCCAGTACTTCCACTGCGGATCCCCTACTCTGATGGAGAGCATCGTCCGCAACCCCCTGATCAAGCTGGTCTGCTTCACAGGCTCGGTGGCTGGTGGCCTCGCGGTGCAGAAGGCTGCGGCGGACCGTCTCGTCGGCGTCGGCCTGGAGCTCGGCGGAAAGGACCCGGCGTACGTGCGGGGCGATGTGGACATCGCCTGGGCGGCCGAGGAGATCGTGGACGGCGCGGTCTTCAACTCGGGCCAGAGTTGCTGCTCCATCGAGCGCGTGTACGTCGCCGAGGAGATACACGACCGCTTCGTCGAGGCGGTGCAGAAGGTGCTCGAGGGCTACCGGCTCGGGGACCCGCTGGACAAGGCGACGCACCTCGGGCCCGTCGTCTCGGCGCGGTCCAAGGAGGCCATCGCCGCACACGTCAAGGACGCGCTCGACAAGGGCGCCAAGGACGCGACGCCGGCCAACGCGACCTTTGACACGCTTCCGGCCAAGGGCAACTTTGTCAAGCCGACGCTTCTGGTCAACGTCAACCACACGATGGACGTCATGAAGGATGAGACATTCGGTCCCGTCATCCCTGTTATGAAGGTCAAGAGCGACGAGGAGGCGGTCGGGCTCATGAATGACAGCGAGTTCGGTCTAACCGCGAGCATCTGGACCAAGGACACGGACAAGGCGTACGAGCTGGTCGATCAGGTCGAGGCAGGCACCGTTTTCGTGAACCGATGCGACTACCCCAGCCCCGTGAGTCGGATCCCTTTGACGCCGCAATCCCTTTCGTCGCGACCGGACCGTCATTGTCCACGCCAATGATGGGGTTGCATTCCTGAGATCCGCAAACAGTTCGTATGCTAACCCGCCAACGTTAACTCCCTTTAGGATCTCGCCTGGACCGGATGGAAGAACTCTGGCAAGGGACAGACGCTGAGCAAATTTGGGTTTGACCAGTTCGTAAAGCTGAAGAGCTACCACCTCAAGGATTACCCAAAATAACTAGACATGGGCAGAGCCCTGATTTCAGGGCGAGGCGAAGAAATGCAAACAAATGCAAATGTTTTCTGTCATTGGAGCGCACGCCAGATATTCGGACGCAAGGGAGACAGTTTATCAGGCCATCTTTTAGGGACCCGAGCCAGCCCGCCTGCAGGACGAAAGACGCCACTCGCGGCGGCCGGCACCAAGCTCCCTTCCCTCTGCGGGCCAGATGAGCGTCTGCGCTATTGGCGACCATTCATTTCAAATCCCGTGATCCCTTTTTACACCGCATTCCACCGCGTGGCCGATGAAACCAATTCGAAGGTTGCCCCCGAAGGGCCACACCAAAATGCACCAAGTGGGCATTCCATCCCTTTTTGCACATGCGTGTGAAAAGCCCTCCTTCTGCTTTCGGCCCGCCCAAAACAACGCAAGCAAAGCAAACCCGCTTGGCTGCCCTAGCTCTGCATGGCTTGCCCGCCTCTGCCCTGTGTTCTCCTCCATTGCTCACCAAACTATGGATGTGTCTTGGCAATTTACTAGCAGTGCCGGTAAGACACGTCCCAAACCCTATTCGCCTCCTGCGCGCGCCGACGTGCGTGCCTGGCTGTCATTGTTGCTGCTTCCGCTGCTCCTGCTGCAGGAGAAGATACGGCGGCAATTGCCGCATGCGTGTGTCGGTTTCAGTAATATAACACGCTGCTCTCGCCCAACAGTTGAGACGCAACCGTGTTTTTTTTTGTTGTTGTCCGTTTTCAGTACACTCTCCCTCTCTCTTCTCCATCCGACACTGGCGACCCCGCGAAGCTCTTATAGGAGCATCGCCCGCCCGCACCCACCCCAGGAACCACCGCATTAGCCGTGGGACACATCATCACCTGGATTCGTGGCGTGGCTTTTCCGGCACGCAGGCACTTTTCTTTTTTTCTTCTGTCTCTTTTTGCGCCTGCATGTCCTACCAACCGGGATAGTCCTTTCCCAACCGCCCCCTCCCTCTTCCACCGGCGCTCCTCGTCGGCGCCGTCCGCTCCTTTGTTCTGCTGGTCCGAACAACTCTCGTTTTTTTTCGTCCACCTGCCCGCTTTTGCTGCGTCCTCATTCGCTCGAACTCCTGTCCGTCCGCCGTCTCTCGCTCTTACCCGGCAAAGGCGGCAAGCCACGACTACTCCGACCTGGCGTCCTCTCTTTGATCTCTCGATAAAAGACAAACCCACACTCCTTTGCTTGCTTTTTTTTGCCACGACCACCAGGTTGCCATTCATTCATCCCACCAAACCGTTTCTTTTCTCCTGGTCAGGCACCGCCGACGTGTTCTCAGGCACGCACAACACCACCACGTCGTGCCTCAGTCCAGCCTTTTTGGGATTTCCATTTTAGCCCTCTTTTTAATATCCTTTGTATCAACCAAAGGCCCCAATCGCTCAAACGGCTCCCCCTGGCAAACACACCCGAACCAACGCCCGCCGCCGTTCCTTGCCATCAATGGACCGCCTCTCACCTGGGAAGTCCTGAAAAGCCGCTTGTTTCCCGACTGCGCCGGCATCTCTGGGCACCCGCTCATCAGACACGGACACACATACACACGCACACGCACACACACTTGCTTCCCTCCTCCCCCTAACACTCACTACACCATTGCCGACGTCCCCGCCAGAATATGACCATTAGCATGGCGTCCTTCAAGAAGTTCGCCCTCCGCATCTCCAAGGCCGTCGTGGGCCTCCGCCGCACTGGGCCGAGGCGCGGACACGATCAAAAGTCCATCCGGGGCCTAGATATCGTAAGCCACCACACCCCTTATCTCATACCCAACAACCGCTTGAAACAACGACTAATATTGATGGTCAAAAACTTAGTCCCATCCGACAAACTTCCGCCGGGAAAGGACCTCCCTCCAAGGGTTCAACCAGGAGCAGTAAGTGACGTGAACCCCATCCAGGGAGTGGTGTTTATCCCCCCCTGGCCCGCTTTTTGTATCTGCTATCCTCCATCGCTCGTTGCTAACCTCGTCATGCTTCCCCCACCTGCAGGCTCGCCCTCCTCCGAGAGAAGGAGCTGGCTCGCCGGGTCGGCGTCATGGACCCCGACAGCATGACGCCCGGCCGCCCGGCACTCTCGATCCCGCTGCGTCCCGCCGGCGGCCCCATGTCGTCCAACCCCGTGGCCACGGTGCCCGAGGAGCCCGAGATGGAGGCCGAGCCGCGGCTATAGGGGATATAATACTGGTCCTGCCGGGATTCAAGGTGTTTTGGTGGATGGTTTTGTAATTTTCCGAGGTTTACTGGTTGTGTTCTTTTGAGCATGTGAGGTGGTCACTTGTAATGGTATTATGTATGAATATTCCAAGGTCGGAGTAAACGGCTGGGCCGGCGGGTGGCGTACAAGGTTCCCATTTTCGGGTGTGGGCTACGGGGCATTACAAAACGGACTACAGATAACTGTGTCCAGAAGCGTCTTCACGCAGAGATAATGTTTATCAACATTTCCTAAATCCCGGCCCTTCCAATTGCTTGATGTGCGGACCAGTGTTTTATTCACGACGCGTTATTACGAGACGCTTGCCTAGCCGCTTGTCACTACTATGCTCTAGATCCAGCCCTCGTACACCTTGAGGCTCTCCATCCGCACGCCCTCCATCTCGCCCTTGACGCCGAGCAGCCGGACGCGGACGTTCTTCTCGCTGCTCCACTTATCCAGGAACTGCTCGACGCGAGCCTTGGTCTCGTCGTCGTCCCTCATCAGCAGCGCGGCCGCGTCGAAACCGCCGGCGCCGGGGACGACGCCGCCAAAGACGCCCTCGAGCCCGCCCAGGGCGTCGAGCAGCTCCGTCTGGCTGGGCGGCTCGATCTGCGCGCCGCTCTCCTCGCCCATGCGGCGCACAACGTCCCGGACGCTCGAGACGGCTCCCGCGATGCCCTCGACCCGGCCGGACGCGAGCACGGCGGCCAGCGCCTCGTTGCGCGACTGCAGGTCGTCCCACAGCTTCGTGGCCGGCTCCTCGTCGCGCGCCTTCCAGGCCAGGACCGTCTTGACCATGCCGACCGTCTGGGTCCCGCAGGTGACGTCGCACATGCGCATGGCGACCCCGGGCGGGAGCGTGACGCTGGTCGGGTCGATCTCGGCGTCCCAGGGCTTGGCGACGACGGCGGTAAGGGCGGCGCTGAAGCCGGGGGCGCCGGGCTCGGGCAGGGATGACAGGACATCCGGTGAGAAGCGGCGGTAGCGACAAGAGCCGTAGACGGCGGCGGCGACATCGAAGCCGGACCCGACCTTGCCCTGGGCGGCACAGTGTGCGGCCTGGGCGAGGTTGTGCAACGCGGCGCGGCCAAATTCCGAGGCCAGGTCGAAGAGCTGTGGGGGCAGGTAGTGGGTCAGGAGGGCGGCGGTAAGGGCGGTGACGAGGGCGGCCGAGGAGCCCAGGCCGGTCTTGTTGGCGCCCGAAAGAGTGGTGGGAAAGTGAGCGAAGCGTGAGGCAGCTTTCCGAGCTCCAGCCGGCGCGGTCTCAGTGCTTGCCGTCTTGGGCGCCGATGAGGACGCGTCGGACGGTTGCGAGTAGTAGTCATTGTCGGCAAGGATGGTGAGCCTGGCCGGCTTCATGCTATGGGAGGGGCCATGCTTCCCGATCTTCGCAATGTAGGTGAGGGCGTAGGACAGGGCCGTCTCCACGAAGGGGTTCTTGGAGATGTCGGTGCCCCTGGTATGAAGGCTGGTGTAAGTAAAGACGAATGGCGCGCTGGGGTTGGGGGAGACTCGACCACGTGAGTGTGATATGGACGCGTGGGCTGCCGGATACTTGACGATCCCGCCCTGGCGATCATCACGGCGATCCTCAGACTACCACAGCGCGCACGCATCCCTTGCCTTCGCAGCAAAGTGCTACAAGTGTTACTTACACATGCAATTGGGTGATCTGGATCCCGCCATCCTCATCGGCAAGGCGGTAGCCGTAGCGCCACTGGGCGTGCTGAAACTGGGGGCTCTTGACGACGATCTCAGTCAGCTGAACGCCGGGGCTGGTGTTGATCTCCTCGGCGACAACGTTGATGCGTGCGCTGAGCCCAAGGACAAGCCCCGTGTACTTGCGGTCCAGGACCAGGTATCCGCCAGCCAGGAGCACCTTGCCTGGGGCGGAAACAGCCGTGGTGGGGTTTGCGTCTGACATTTTGCGTCCTTGGTCTGCTTCTTTCGTGTCCTGGGAGGGGTGGGGGCAGCCAGGGATGTCACAGAGGCACGGTGAGGATGAGTGGTGGTGGTTTGGTGTTGGCAGGGCTGACGATCACGCTGCTTTTGCTTCTCTCGAGAACGGAGACCGACCCAGGGGGAAGGAACAGTTGCGCGGCGCAAATGCGGGGTTGGAGCACGGGTCTCGAGAGTGCAGGTCCCGTTCGCCTGTGTTTTCCAGTGAATACCAGGTACACGCAAGTACCCGAGCGGCCACTGCCGGTCGAATCGGGTGCTTTGACAGGAGCCGAAGGGAGGCACTGGAAGGAGTTGCCGAGACAAAACCACAAAAACACCACTTGATGGGAGCTCCTACGATGACACGAGCGTCGTCGCGGACTCAATGACGTTGCTCCAGCTGCTTCTGGCAAGCAGGGGAGCACCCCACCCTCATCGTCAGTGCTGTGAGCCGATGCGACATCAGCTAGAGCTCCGACCAATAGCAGCCCAGCTAACCGGGCCAAACGCTCCGGACAGCTCCGATAGACAGCACCGATCGAGGGAATTGATTGAATGCCATGCGGGAGTCCGTTTTGATCAAATCGGCATGACGTTTACAGCGCGGCCTGGTGCTGGAGGCGGGAGCAGCGATGTGCCCGCCACAAAGTCTAGCCTCGGAGGAACGGATGGAGAGGTGCAGAGGAATAGCCCTACCACTCCACTCAGGAAGCAAGTCATGAATCAAACCGATGGTGGCAGGCGCTCTGGGCCGTCAAGGAGAGAACCCCGTTGGATCGCACGAACTCGGCATTTTGCTGCCAGTGGCGGACCCGGCCAGACTGTTACCGAGAATGGTTTGGCTTATTCGTACCGTGCCTCGCCAAGCCGCAGCGCCCTGAGACGTGGTACCTTGGGATTTGGTCGCCAGCACTTGATGGAAAGGGCAACATGTCCAATTACCTGCCTGGCGAGGAGGGAATACATAGAAGGCGGTGTATTGTCTCTGCCAGTGTGCATTGTGGCCGACGGACGCACCATTGATGTCCACTTGTGCTGTCATGCCTGCCTGGCCGTCTGTTTTTCAGCCTGCCTCAGTGCCTGCCGCCATGTCAATCATCGGGGTCTCGGGTACGTGGGATCTTGCGCGTGCTGGGAGTAAGCGGCGGGCCAATTCCAGCCCCCAGTTTCCGTCCCAGCTCGGCCGAGGGAGGCGGGAGGGCTTGGCGCGGCGGGCTTTGGCATAAGCCCGAGTCGCGTTCCACGCAGCTGGGCTTGGTCCAATTTTGAAGGACGCGGGTTTTTCTCGCAAAATCGAGCTCGTGACGCTGCACCCCAGCGACCCGCTCCAGCTTCTGCCGATCCACTCGCCGCCGTGCTGCGTGTCGAGTTACTGGCACAGGTTGCTCCAAAGACGGCAACACGTCGCCGTGGCCAAATGGACAGCATAGCAGAGACCATGTTTGGTCTCGTTCGAATCTCGCCCAGCTGCTTCAGACACAGGCCCTCTAGCATTCTAAAGCCGAGCAAGACCACCTGTTTGAAACCCAAATCTATGGTGCGGGCACCGATTCGCTTAGCGCATTGGCAGTCGTGACCGCCCATTCACCTCCCGGCTTCTGCCCGTCCTCCCCCCACAAGCTCCTCCCCAGCCCCCTGCACCTGAAGAAGGCCTGATGGGTAACATCAATGGAAAGTACGCTTGTTTACGACGGCGAGGGTTGTTTCCCATGACTGGCTGGGCGGGGCCGCCGCGGCTGACCGGGATTAATATTGAAAATTACATGTAGTGACGGGTTTAAGTGTGCTCCAGCCCTGCGTCGTGGCCGTTGACGTGCTTGGTACGCAGGAGAGCGGCACAACGGCAAGACATACAGCGAGTGGACTGGATGACACCCTATGTCTGTACCTAGGAATGTGTGAAATCATGGAATTGAGGGAGCTTTACCGATGGCTGAGGGACCAAAAAAGGCCAAGGCTGAGGACCGAGGTTCCTGGCTAGGCCCCGACGGGTGTCGTCATGGAACCGTCTCCGCCGGCATGATGTGTGTGAGGTCCAGGAGGCCGCGTCTGTTGCACCCCCCGTCGTGGGAAAAGACAGCCTGTCCACAAGCCATGCTAAAGAAACAGAGGCGTATCAAAACAGAGCCTGAGGAGTACAAGATCAGTCATTAGCTTTGCCTCCGCCACCGATCCAGAGTTGAGCGCATTGTGCTTCATCGGCTGAGCTCATCGCCGCCTCTCCAGCCAAGGACTCGCAACCTTAGCCACCACCCAAACTGAGTCTCACGGCTATTGGCTGTGGCAGGTTCCGGCATTGCCCTGGCCTTCTGACTAAGCCCCAGCTTCCGAATCCACCCTTGCGAGTTGCGCAATTTTCATGCAATTTGCCCGAAAAATTCCACTCGCACCCGAGCCAGGATTTCGGAGCTTGTGTTAGTGCCGGAGCCCTCCAACGATATCTGATCGAAAAAGTGTGCGAGCGGGAGCAAGGAAAAAAAAAAAGAGACGGCCCTCCCTGCCATTGCGACCTGAGGCTTTCCTCCCAGTCCTTCTTTCTGCACTCCTTTTGTTCGGCATAACCCGAAAATAATACAATCCGCGCGTTTGTTTGACGGCTCATGTGCTGTCAAATGAACCTGCAACGGCGACTTCCTTTACCCTATCTTGTAAGTGTGGCGCCTCTCTGCTTTTTCCTCTGGTTTTGCGGGTGCGGCGGCGGGCAGTGGCGTGTCGTCGCAATTGGAGTGGTCAGATCCAACCAGCCCAGTCGCGCGACATTGCCGTCACCTCACCACACAGCACCACAGCCCACGATGCGCGCTGGACTGGCGCCTGTCTCAACCACCATGACTACAATTCCAATTCTATCCCGATCGCCTGTTCTTGGCTGGCCCTTCCGTGCCGATCGAGCGGGCCGTCCTGATCGTGTCGCGTGCTGACACTCTCTTCTCTTGGCAGCTTCACCCCCGTCCTGGATAATTCTAAATGCCCTCCATCTACTCCTCCCTGTACCAGAACTTCATCCGCCAGGGTTCCAAGACCTTTGTCAACGGCTACGCACAGTCTGTCGTAGCTGCCACCCAGCACAATGTTCTAAACCCCCAGAACAGGCCGTCCTTTGCGCGGAGGAATAGCACCAGCACCACCCGCATCGGACGGCTCTCAACCCTTGCCCTCCAGAGCGCCTTTCACCCGGCCGTCTCGGCCGTCGGCGTCCACCCGGAACACCGAATCGAGAGGGTAGCCAACCATGGCGGCCTAGACGCCTACTTCGAGAACCTGCAAAAGGCCGAAGCCGTCGACGTCGAGGATGCCAGCACAGTCGAGTCCGAGTGGGTTCAGTACCAATTCCCCAAGCGCATCGAGTGGAAGCCCTCCCCCGCATCCATTCTCCTTGAGCCGAGGACCCTGGTGGCTGAGAACGCGACCGAGGATGCCCCTGCTCGACCCATATCGCCAGAGGAGGAGGCGGTGCTTGCGACTATCGATGCTGCCCTGGAACGGGAGATCGAGGCTCGCAGCAAGCTCGAGGCGCTGCAGGAGGAGGAGGAGTCTGTACAGTCCGTGAGGTCGGCATCACCTGCTGTGCCTGCGCTCCAGGAAGCCGTGGAAGAAGCCGTGTCAAGGTCCGCCACCCCCGTTTCGGGCACCAGGACACCCGCCAGCATCCAGAGGACAGCAACACCACCGCCGGTCGAGAAGGTCGACCCTCAATCTCTAACCTACACCAACCACTTGACCAAGCTTGCGGGATCTGCCCGATATGCCGAGATCCATGCTGTGTTCGAGGCCATGCTGGTTGCCGACGTTCAGCCAACACCAACCGCCTACAACGCCCTTCTCACGGCCTCCATCCAGCTCTCCAGGGAGAAGATTGAGGTTGTGTCCAAGGCCCTGGATGTTTATGCAGACATGCTCCGCCGCAAGGTGGCCCCGGACAGCGACACCTACAACATTCTGGTCGGTCTTCTCGCCTCTCGCTCGCTCGAGGTCGGATCCTTGAAGACGTCCTTGGAGGAGAAGCGGGCGCGCTTTGGTGGAATGGACGAGCCAGGACGCTTCATGCTCGCCTCGCACGAGCTCGAGCACGCAATACTCTCCGAGGATGACCGTCTCGACCTCGCCATCAAGCTGTTCGACAACTCAATCCTAGAGAATGAGGCAGTCTACTCGTCGGAAACATATCACGAACTCATCTCTGCTTGTGCGCAGTCGGGCCGCGTTTCTGATATGCTCCAGCTGTTCGAGCATATGGAGCGTAACCAGGTCGTCCCTTTCGCCGCCACTTTCCCGGCCATGATCACTGCATTTGCCGTCTCGGGCGACTTGGTCAGCGCAGTTGAGTGCTACACCGAGTACAAGACTCTGGCGGTGGCCAACGACAATGGAATGCCCAGTCTGCTTGACCGTCTCGATGTCGACGTGTACGCTGCGGTCATCAACGCCTATGTCGTCTCGGACAAGCTAGAGGGCGCCATGAAGTTCTACGAGAAGATAATCAAGGAGTATGGAGTTCGGGCTGTGGACATCAAGGACGCCATCATCAGCGCAGGTTTCGTCCAGGGCTTCTTGCACCGGGGCATCTTCGAGGAGGCGCTGATGTGGGCCCAGGCAGTTGAGGACCAGACGAGGCTGCAGACAATGAGCCATGTTGCCAGCAAAGCCGCCGACAGCGGCGACATGCACACGGCAGTCGCGGCATTTGCCGACCTGCCTCAGCCTATGCTGATGGGCAGTACCCCCGCAATCGCTCTGCTTGCGCTCAGCGTCCGTCAGGGTGATGTCGCCGCGGCCTCGAGATTCTGGAGTGTTCTCAGCAGCCCGGAGATGCAGGTGACGCGCAGCTTCATCGAGCCCACGGCCATGTACGCCGTGGCCATGATTGGCTCCGGTCAGGTGGCCGAGGGCTTAACACAGTCGGAGATGATGTTTGAACGCATTAGGGCTCTTGCCGACGTGCAGCCGCAGGTCCTTGAAGAGGTCGACGAAGCTTCCGAGTTTGTTGGTCGGTTCATGGCTCAGCGTGGCGTCGTGGATCCCCGCGATATCGCCTCTGTCGCCTCGTATCCTACACACGCCCTGTCCACCTCGCCTTTTGACTCCAGCGCCACCGTCTCCAGCTTCGAAGACACGTTTGACCCTTACGCCCACAACACCGACTTCAAGGGCTCGTCGCTGATTGCCGACGACCTTGAGGGCTCTCATGGCCGCAAGGGCCCCAAGCTGAACGATGCCCTGAACCGGTTCCGCAACATCCGCCGGGCAGGCCGCCACCCCAGGTACATCACGTATGCCAAGCTGATCTCTGCTGCTGCCCGCGACGGCAAGATGGATCTTTGCAACGACATTCTGGCTATGGCTGCTGCCGACGTGCCTCTGCAGTCGCAGTATGCCGTTGTCCGCTACGGGTGGTCCTCCATCCTGGACGCCATGGTTGGTGCCTGTCTGACGCTGGGTAAACGCTCGATGGCCGAGCAGTTCCACATCCAGCTTCTCTCCATCGGTGCTTCGCCTTCCGCAAACACTTTCGGCCTCTACATCACCACCCTGAAGGAATCGACCAAGACGTTCGACGAGGCGTCCGAGGCCGTCAAGATCTTCCAGCGCGCCAAGGCCGAGGGCGTCGAGCCGACCTCATTCCTGTACAATGCCCTCATCGGCAAGCTTGGCAAGGCTCGGCGCATCGACGACTGCCTGTTCTACTTTGCCGAAATGCGCGCTCTTGCCATCCGCCCCACCTCGGTCACCTACGGCACCATCGTCAACGCCCTGTGCCGCGTCTCGGATGACAAGTTTGCCGAGGAGCTGTTTGATGAGATGGAGTCTATGCCCAACTACAAGGCGCGCCCTGCCCCCTACAACAGCATGATGCAGTTCTTCCTGACCACCAAGCGCGACAAGTCCAAGGTGCTCTCGTACTACGAGCGCATGGTCGCCAAGGGCATCTCGCCCACGACGCACACCTACAAGCTACTGGTCGACACGCACGCGACGCTGGAGCCCGTCAACATGACGGCTGCCGAGGCGGTCCTTGATCGTATTCGCGCCTCGGGCCAGTCGCCAGAGCCCGTGCACTACGCCTCGCTCATCCACGCCCGCGGCTGCGTCCTCCACGACATGGCCGGCGCCCAGCGCGTGTTCGACTCGGTTATGAAGGATCCCTCCATCCCCTCTTCGGCGTGTCTCTTCCAGGCCCTGTTCGAGGCCATGGTTGCCAACCATCGCGTCGCCGACACCACCGCCGTGCTGGCCGAGATGCGCCGCCGCCGCATCGAGATGACACCCTACATCGCCAACACCCTGATCCACGGCTGGGCTGCCGAGCACAAGATCGACAAGGCCAGGGAGGTGTACGAGGCCGTCGGCCGCGAGCGCCGTGAGCCCAGCACCTACGAGGCCATGACGCGCGCCTACCTCGCCGTCGAGCAGCGTGAGGGTGCCAACGGCGTCGTGTCCGAGATGCTATCGCGCGGCTACCCGAGCGCTGTCGTCAACAAGGTGCTCGAGCTGCTTGGCGGCGGCGGCGGCGGCGCTCCTGCCGAGGAGGCTGCTGCTGCTCCTGTTGCTGTCGCCACTGTTGCTGCTGCCGCCTAAGGCTGTGTCGGGATATCTCTGCCCGCTTTTCTGCTCCCTTCTGTTTGTGGAATTGTCCTTTTTATTTTGGTCAAATGTGTCGTGATACCCCGGTGGCTGCCAACAAAAAAGCGTGGGAGGAACCTCAAAAGGTTGTCCCATGTGTTTCTTTTTTCTTTATTTTTTTCTTTCTTTTTTCCCCTAGCTCATGTTCTCGTCTCCTTTTCCTCATCCATCACCCCAACAGCGCGCTATTCTATTCATGCGAGTTTTTTTCAACTGCTTGCTATCCTAGTCACCGGTGGTATGCATTTTTCTTCCTTCTCTTAATTTCCTTTGTCCATATTCTCATGAAACTGGAGGTCTTGGGTTGGACGGCGTTCATGGTGTGTGGAGTAGCCTTCCCCGGCTACATTTTTTCTCGCTTTTATCTCATTTTTCATGGTTGATTCACGGCCCGCCGAGGCAATATCGCCCTCTGGCTCGAGCCACCGCATTGTTCAAGTTCTCTTTTGAAGAGGTTTACTTGATTTACCTCATAGACAAATCTCCACTCTACATACTCACGAAAACATTTAAAGAGCAACCGGAATATGGGCAAAGGATAGCTGGAGGAATCGCGGTGCATTTTGCTTGGGTTCATGGGTCGGGAACGGGGAATGCATGGGGGTTTACCGGGCAGCATCCAAAGGGCAACGCAGGCAGGCATGGGAAATGACGGCTGAAAGACGGGATTCAGGTCTAATCGGGAGGGTGTTTGGGGGTTTGGCCACGGACGTTTGTTTACGGCCAAAAAAGGCTGACGAGAAGATGATTCCCATGCTTGCGAGACGAGGCCTGAGCATGCACATCCTGCGACAAGCGGGCGCGGTTGCTCTTTGTATAACAAAAACATTTGTTTATATCCCACAAAGAAATAGACCTCACAATGCTTCTAAGAACAGCGACTGTTGAGTGTGTGAAGATGCTATACTGTGGAGACAAGTTACTCTCTCGACTCGTAACTGTTTTTTTTGTTTTTTTTGGGGTCTAACTACCCACGCCCCTGAGCCCTTTTCGACACGGCCTAGCCGATGTTGAACTCGGAGGCACCGCTGCCAACCATCTTCATCTTCATCTTCATCCGTCTGAGCGCCTCCTCGTCGACGCCGTTGCCTCCCTCGTCGTCGGAGCCTCGTCCGCCGCCGTCAGACTTGTTTTTCCCTCCAAAGGCTGATGATGCCGCCGACCCCTTGTGCGCCGCGCGCCTCTGGACGACGCCGCCGCCGATGCCGGCGGGGGCCTCGCGCAGGCCGAAGCTCTTTGCCGTGTGGCCGAGGTGCAGCTGCGTGATGTCGAAGAACTTGCGCTCCTCGTGGATGTGCGTCGCGTACGCGCGTATGTGCGACCGGAACGCCTGCCGGGCCGCGTCGAGAAGCGTGCTGCCCGCTCCCTTGACGGGCGGTTTCGGCTGCTGGTGGTGATGGTGGTTCTTCTGCTGGTGTTTCGACCCCGCCTTCCTCCCGCCCTTTGCCGCCGAGGCCGACGTGTCCGAGGCCAGGAGGCGCTGCTCGAGGTGCAGCTGCAGGGCCTCGGCTCGCGACGTCCAGGTCTGCTTCTTGTTTGTGTCTTGCTGCTTGGCCTGTTGTTGCTTCTGAGCCGAGGCGCCGCCGCCGCCGTCGTCGTCGTCGTCGTCGCCGGCGGCGGGCGGCGGCGGGGCGGGGGGTAGGTCAACGTCGGACTCGAGTCCCGCCCGCAGCACCGTTTCATAGAGCTGCGGCGCCACGGGGTTGGCCGAGTGGAGCAGCGACATGTAGCCCTCCTCGCAGCCGGGCTGCAGGAAGAGCATGGCCTTGCCAGGACGACCCGCGCGGGCTGTCCGGCCTATGCGATGCACGTGGTCGGCGACGCTGAAGGACGGGTCGTACTCGATGACGAGGTCGACAGCCGGCACGTCGAGGCCTCGAGAGGAAATGTCGGTCGTGATCAGGACGGCCGGGTCCTTGGCCGTGGTGAAGGCCTGGAGCGTCGCCGTCCGCACCGGCTGTGAGAGCGAGCCGTGTAGCCTGTGCACTGCTATGCTGGGGTTTGCGGGTGAAGAGATGTAGCATGCCTGGGCCACTGTGGTATCGGTGTGCGACGTTGTTGATGGTTTCTTGGGGGAAGGCTCGGCATCTCCGGCTGGGAGTGGCTTTGCGGGCGGAGTTGCCGTAGAAGAGTCTGGGGGTTGGCGGAGTAAGGCGAAGTGGAAGTCGACCGAGTCCGCGCAGGATATGAATATGATGGCTTTCATCACAGACCCCTTTCTTGCGAATGATGACTTGAGCAGAGCTATCAAAGTAACCAGGCGCAGCTTCGCGGGAACAATGAGGTAGGACTGCTTGAGCTGGGACGGCGCCGTAAAAACGACGTCGCTGCCCTCGTTGCCTTCTGCCGTCTCACCACCGCTGTCACCAGCTGCTGCCGTGATGTGGATGGCGTCTACCAGACTGATTTCGCCGAGCTTCTGCACGTTCATCTTCATAGTTGCCGAGCAGAGCACTGTCACGCGCCTTTTGGGGAGCCTTTCGCCAAGCAAAACCCCATCCTTATTCTCCTCCTGGAGCGGCTCTTTGCGTATCTTGGCCACGATAGTCCTGAGGTCCTCCTCGAAGCCCATCTCCATCAGCCTGTCGCCCTCATCGAGCACCAGCCAGCGAACAGTGCCGACATCCAGCATCTTGGAGTGGTCCAGATGGTCCGTTAGCCGCCCGGGGGTCGCGATCAGTATGTTGACGCCCTTTCTGAGCCGCGACTTCTCCTTGTGCTTGCTCTCGCCGCCGATGACCGTGGTGCTGACGATCCAGGGGGTACACCGCAAGAGCTTCTCCAGCACCGCGGCTATTTGCTTGCACAGCTCGCGGGTAGGCGCCAAGACGATTGCGAACAAACCCGAGTTGCGATTGATCTTCTTGTGGTTCCCCTTGACGACGCTCCCGTCTTGATTTTCGCTGAGGGCAAGTATTCGCGACACTATGGGCAGCAGATATGCCAGCGTCTTTCCCGAGCCTGTCTGGGCCTGTAGAAAGGCATCACTGTCGTCCTTTATGAGTTGCGGCACCGTGTTTTTCTGGATCGAGGTCGGGGCCTTCATCTCGAGCTTAGAGGAGAGATGCTGGGCGATGCGCCGCGACAGCCCGAGGGCGTGGAACGTCGCCGCCTCGTCCGAAAGGGGCGCATTCGACGGCTGGGGAGGTTCCGTAGGTTCTTCGGCGGTCGGTTTCTCGTCAAAGTTTGTCACGGCCGTCGGGTTCGCGGAGAAGAGGCGGGAGGTAACGTGCTGAGACCTTGGCTGCTGGCTCCTGGCGCCGGCGCCAGATCCCTGTTGTTGCCGGCGGTCGGCATCGTCATCGCCCTCTCCAAGCCTTTGTTTTTTTGTAGGTCGCTGCGCATCGGCCCTGCCATCGCCTGTCCCGTTCCCTCTAGCTGGCCCGCCGTCCAGACCCCGCTTCGCGCTCTTCTGCGCCCGCACCCGGTCCCTCCAGCGACCGCCTTTGAACTTGACTTGCGGCTTGAAGGCTTCATCCCCAATCTCGAAGTTGAGGACCATGCCATCGTCCGCCATTTTGTCGGTTGTCCAAGGCGCGCGGCGAGGATGGTGGAGGGCCGATGTTGGCGGTTGGTTGCGGTTCTCGTCGAGCGACAGAA